AGGAGGCTCAGGGAAGGGGGCAGGGTGCATGTAGGGGGCTCAGAGCAGAGGGTGGGAGATGCAGGAGGCTCAGGGAAGGGGGCAGGGTGCATGTAGGGGGCTCAGAGCAGAGGGTGGGAGGTGCAGGGGGGAGGGTGTGTGTCGGGGGCTCAGAGCAGAGGGTGGGAGGTGCAGGAGGCTCAGGGAAGGGGGCAGGGTGCATGTAGGGGGCTCAGAGCAGAGGGTGGGAGGTGCAGGAGGCTCAGGGCAGGGGGTTATGTGTGGGGGGAGATGCAGAAGTGAGGCAGGGGGGGTGCGGGGGGGGGGGGCGGGGGGAGGGTGCGTGTAGGGGGCTGAGAGCAGAGGGTGGGAGGTGCAGGAGGCTCAGGGAAGGGGGTTATGTGTGGGGGGAGATGCAGAAGTCAGGCATGGGGGTTGCGGGGGAGCGTGTGGATGGGGCCCTGAGGCCAGGTAACCTTAACTTGCCACAAGGGAGCTGTGGGCCATCTGTTTAGGGGCACGGATGCTGGGAAATCAGCAGCAGTGGGAGAAACTCCCCGGCTCCTACCCAGGGGCCGCGAGTAACAGCGCACTCCAGGGACAGCACGGTTGCACCCAGCTGCAGCAGGAGCCCGGCTGGGAGGGTGCATCACACCCTGCGCCTCAGCAGGCTCCGAGCAGCATGCTCAGCTGGCCCTTTAAATAGTGCCCCGGCCGGATTGTGTCGGAGGCCAGCAAGCCCTCGGAGCAGCGCACCGGTGCACGTCCCCTTTCCTTTCACCTCTGCCCCTCAGGCTTTACCCCACGCACACAGGCGTCGATTTTAACAGCGCTTTAGGGCGACGGGCAGGGGAGCCGCACCACAAATGCGACCTGAGGCTGATTACATCGACCTGAGCTCATCCCATGGACCGGCCCTAAGCACGGAGACGGAATGGAGGCTTCTGGGAACTTTTGAGCCCTAGTGGGCTCCATAGCACCTCCACCCAGCCCTCTCTCTTCCATGCCCCTCCGGCACCCACAAGAACCTCCCTAGGGGAGACCAGGGGTTGGTTTCCCTCCGATTTCCCGCCTCATTCTGGCTTGCGTCCCTGCCAGTGGGATGTCAAGTCTAGCTCCTTAGCAAGGCTGAATCTTATCTGTCATTCCGCTGACAAACTTGGAGCCTCTCTAGGAAGCTCGTTAGCAGCTGGAGACTGGCCATGCAAGAGCCTGAGTCTGGAGCTGCTGCTTGCTGTTGGAAAGCACAGGGCAGCAGGGAATTCCTGTGAGTGAGCTGGGGGCTCTAACTCTCAGTAGGAGGGGAGCGAGCAGAGGGGGATAAGGAAACATTTGCTAACAGCAAGAGGCTGTTGGCTGGGGAATAAACTCCCCAAGGGGCAAAGCATCCCAAACTGGCTAGCTATAAACAATGCTGGGCAAACAGGATGGAATACGCATTAAAAAAGGGATAGAGATTAAGACGGAGAATATTTTACTGCCCTTATAGAAATCCATGGTACGCCCACATCTGGAATACTGTGTACAGATGTGGTCGCCTCATCTCAAAAAAGATATCCTGGCATTAGAAAAGGTTCAGAGACGGGCAACTAAAATGATTGCGGGTTTGGAACGGATCCCCTATGAGGAGAGATTAAAGAGACTAGGATTTTTCATCTTGGAAAAGAGGAGATAAGGGGGGATATGATAGAGGTCTATAAAATCGTGAGTGGTGTGGAGAAAATGAATAAAGAAAAGTTGTTTACTTGTTCCCACAGTATAAGAACTAGGGGCCACCAAATGAAATTAATGGGCAGCAGGTTTAAAACTAATAAAAGAAAGTTCTTCTTCACTCAGCGCATAGTCAATCTGTGGAACTCCTCGCCTGAGGAGGCTGTGAAGGCTGGGACTATAACAGGGTTTAAAAGAGAACTAGATAAATTCATGGAGGTTAAGTCCATTAATGGCTATTAGCCAGTATGGGTAAGGAATGGTGTCCCTAGCCTCTGTTTGTTTGTCAGACGGTGGAGATGGATGGCAGGAGAGAGATCGCTTGATCATTACCTGTTCGGTTCACTCCCTTTGGGGCACCTGGCATTGGCCACTGTCGGTAGACAGGACACTGGGCTGGATGGACCTTTGGTCTGACCCAGTCTGGCCGTTCTTATGTTCTGATGGTTCTGGCCCTACTGGGGCTGTGCACCTGGGTACTGTGTCAAGTCCCTTTGAGCCTTCCCAGAGCTGAGCTGCTCTGCTGTGGGATATGACCCCAACTCGGTGCCATCGCTGGAGGAGACCGGAGGGTCTGACCCAGCAGGACAGGATGGTGGGACACCCCAGACGGCAGGAAGGCAAGGTCAGCGATATTCTCAGGGGATCTCTGTGACCTAACCTGCCACAACATCTCCCTGAATGGAGCAAATTCTTTTTTGGATCCAGTGATTCTTTTGGCTTTTATAAGATTCCCTGGTAGTGAGTTCTACAGGTTGACTGCGTTGTGTGAAGATGTAATCAAGTTGCATTTTTTTTTCCAGCACTCAATCCTTATGGCTCCATTTTACACCCTCTCCAATTTTTCAACATCCCATTAAAAATGAGGACACAAGATCTGGTTGTAGGATTCCAGCATGGCTCTCACCAGTGCCGTACCAAGAGGTAAAATTGCCCTGGGATGGTACAGCTGCGCCAGAGGAGCTTCCAGATTAGCAGTCAGACGTACTGCTCCTTTCACTGCTGCGGTCCTCCCCACCCCGGTAATGTGGGACAGATCATGGGGAGGGGAGGGTAAGAGCTCATGGCCCCGGGCTGGGGGTGAGCAAAGTCAAGGGAGGAGTCATGTGGGGAGGACACATGCCCCTCCGCTTCAGCATGTGGGTACGAAATGAATTCTCCCTGCACCACTGGTATTCCCTTAGCTCCTGTGCGTCCATATGGGGCACCGTGGGCTAGCACCGTGGGCTACACATTCCGTGGGTGGCCATGCTAGCCTGCCATCAGAACAATGAGTTATGTCAGACCTCAGCACCCATCCAGCTTGCCGGCTTCCTAGCTGTACCCACGACCGGTCTAAAATCCACTGCCCCAAAGCCCTCTCAATCTGGCGCGTCCGCGGAGAAGTCAGAGCCTTCTATGCAGGGTGAGTGAAGACCCAGTGACCAGCCCTGGCTGGGAAGTCAAAGCGGTCGTGGGGGGACCCCACCCCACCAAACAAGCATGCTCACACGTGGCAACCTGGCTGTTTGGGTCCCTCTTTCTCTGCTGCGCTGCTGGCAGGGCTTGAGCTCATCCTACCCTTGCGTGGCAAGCGATGGGCAGGGCCTGGAAGGCTCCCCTGGGTGCTTCTATTGGCAGCGCTGCAGGAGAAATCAAGGATCAGGCCCATGAATGCCCACAACCTCCTGGGACGCACCAGCGGCTCAGGTTCACAGATGCCCCCTTGTCCTGTTCCGCTCCTAACCCGTCGCTGCCCCCGCGCGACTTCGTCACAGGGTGGGTGGGTTCCGCACTGCGGATGATGGACCTGAAGACAATGCAGCAGAGCCCTGATCTAGGGTGACTCCCTGCCGTGCTGCATGAGGGGGTGCTGTATGTCTCCCAGCCTGGCTTCCTCCACCATGTGGCTCTCTCCCCTGGGCGAATGGAGCGGACGTGGCCACAGAGCCAATCTCGGCAGTCCCCCTTTTCTGCACAAGGAGGGGGAGATCTGTGGATGGAGGTTCCCCCTCACTGACCTCCAGTTATAAAGACCTACAATAGCAATAATACTCCCTAGGCAGGTGCTGATTGCTGTGTTTATTGACTGGCAGACCTTGAAAGTCCATGGCACAGGCCACGGCAGTGCAAGGTTACGCTTTGCCTCTCCAGTCCATATACTCCAGCGATGGCCCATCCGGGGGAGGAAAGGGAGAGTCAGATCTCCATTACCAACCCAACACTTGGCCTGTGCTGAGCCTGGCAAGTAGGGTGCAGGCAGCTTTTCTTCCTCAGCTGGGCCAGGGTGCCCAGTCCCACTTCTGATGCTCTGGACATTCAGTCGCAAATCACTCTGGCTAGTTTTGAACCAAAGATGTAGGGTGCGTTTCTAGTACAAAAAATCCCACAAAACCAAACAAACCCACCACCTCTCCCGTGGGAGCCTCAGAGCCCCGGGCTACTGCTGTGGGCCGTTCCTTCTTGGGATGGTGCTCAGCCTCTGAAACCCCAGCTCCTCACCGGGTCTTTTTTGCAAGTTAGACATATCCATGGAGGTCTGAGTCCCCTCCCCGCAATTTGAGCCACCTGGTCCACCAGACAAAGGCGCAGGCTGTATTAACCCCCACTGGCAACAGGCCAGCATCTCCTGGAAGCTGAAGAGTCTTTCTTGACCCAGACGACTCAAATTCACACGTCCCCAGAATGACAGTTCCTCAGCTGCCCGAGCTTCCTAGCATCATGGTGGGGCCTCTGAGGGGAGCGTGCCTCCTCCTGTCTCCCCCACGGTGCTTCCTGCAGTTCTCTCAGGAAACGGGATGGCTCAGCCATTGCCACAGAAGAGGTGGGAGCGGAGGCAGCTGCAGGTCATGACCCGGCACATGGCACGCTGGGATGGTAGGACACTAGCAAAATTAACAGCCTCTACCTGCAAGTGACTACATGCAAATACATTTCTTATGCACATTTAAGTCTCCAGGGCTTTTTCAGCTTCGCATAGCTGTTTCCCACTAATTAGTTTATTATTATATATTGTTCAACCTACTGTGCCTCCATTTGCAGTTTGCAGCAATTTCCCTATTGAGGTAGCAAACTTTCCTTGCAATTAGCCCGGTGGGCTGCTGAGCTACACTAATAAACCTCTCCTGGCTCTTCCTCTTCATTAGCAAAGTTGCACTCGAGGAGTTTTTATGGCAGGGAAACTCACAACTCCAAGCGACGGGTGCAAGATTTTGGAAGAGCAGCCGTTGCCTTCAGCAGGCGTTAATGTGCTGACCTGCATGTGCCTGCCCTCATTATTGTCAACTGCTCTGCAGAGGAACACATGAAAGAGGAAGGGAATAAATCCTTACCATGAGCTGCTTGATCGTTGGGTGTTCCTCTGTCTCCCTGCCTGCAGCAGGCTCCTTATGCACAATCTCGACGCGGATATCGTTCTTGGCTGAAACCACACCCTTCAGATCTAAGCAAAGAGCGAGCAAGAGAGTAGATATTACTTGCATGCTGGGTGTGATTATTGATAATGAGTGTCACCGTTAGTAGACCCCACAATAAAGAAATTGACTGTCTCAGTGAGATGTTCTTTGTTTGCTATTCGTAACTGGGGAACAGAAAAATATTTGGCAACCATTAATTGGGCTCTGACAAGTACTTAGAGTACTATGTAGAGGTTGATTAGTATCCCACTGAAATGCAGCTCTGAGGTAGAGAATAGTAGCCATTTAACAACTCACAGCAACACTGCACAGCTTTTTGACACAGCCAGTGATGAATTATAGTGTGGACAGTTGAATGTAACCCTTTAGATCAAGTGGTGAAGGCCTGTAGGAGTTTCTAATCTACTAGTTGATAGGCACTTCTGCATTCCTCCTTTTAAATGTACAAGAGCCGTGGCTGGGGCTCTTGTACATTTCAAAGGAGGAACGCGGAACTCAAGGTGCAGCCGGGGCCAGTGGGAAGTCCTGCTGACTCCGGGTTGCATGCGGGCGTGCCTGCTTTGAAATGTACAAGAGTCCCCAGCGGGGGATCCTGTGCATTTCAAGGCCCAGCGCCCTCATGGAGCCCCAGCTGATCCTGAGCTTTGCGCAGCATTTCCCCAGAACCAGGGTCAGCTGGGGATTCCCCAGCTGATCCCAGGTTCCACAGAAATGCCAGGCAGAGCCCAGGGTCATCAGGGGAGTTCCCAGCTGACCCCGGGCTCCATGGCGGTGGGCGTTTCAAAGGGGCAACCACTGCACAGCTGATCCACAGCTCAGGTGTGCGGCACTGCCGCTTTGAAGTACACCTTCGCCCCCACCCCTTTGCTGCCTCTATCTGCAAGGGGAGGGGGAATCGACTAGTCAACTGACTATCCAATAAGCATTTGCTTATCGGATAGTCAACTAGTTGACTAGTCTTTACCCTCCTTATTGACAATACCGGAGGCCCTCAATAGCTCATAGGATTGGCCTTTGCACAGAAAGGCCAGTGGGAACACTGGAGATAATTAGGAGTTTTAGTGCTTGGTGAGTCTGTTTGGCCATTTTTTTTAGGTGAAAAATGCAGATTTGGGCCAAATGAAACAATTTGTGAATTAATGAGTAATTTGACCAGCTGTTTGGGTTTTTTTTTTAAGCACAAGGCTTTCACCTCCCCAACTGAAATGCTTCCTTTTGACATTTTAAAATGGAAGTTTTCAGTTTTTCAGTATGAAATGGACTTTTCGTTTGAATTTTACTTCACCTTGATTGAATTCCCCCCGCCCTGGAAAAACACGTCCCAGATACAAAGATATAATGTAATTGGGGTGTGCACCAATAGCGATTAGATGTGAAACAAATTCAGCCAGTGATTTTTTTTTGGTATTTTTTTTGGTTCGGCCACTGACCTAAAGCAATCGGTTATTTGCACTGCTCTAATGATAAGCCACAGTGTTTTCCATCCCTGGATCTCAAAGCACTTTAACCAGGTAGCTAACTTGACCCTTGATGTAGATGGGGAAACAAAGGCACAAAGTCATGAAGTGATTTTTGCCCATGGTCATACAACAGGACAATCTCAGAGCTAGAACTAGAAACCTGGTCTCCTGGCCCAGTGCCTGAGCCACTGGGCTATGCTGTGTCCAAACAAGACAAAACTGGATTTTACCATGTTTTTGTGACAATGTTCAGCCCAGCCCACTGTGCAGTGTGACTGATATTTTTCCTTACTCTAACAGGCTTGGAGCTTACTTTAGTGGACTTATCCAGCTGAGGAGCATGCTTTAGATCTGCACTGGAAAGACATAGCTAAGTTGGCCTAATACACAGTGCAGGCGGCACTAGAATTCTTCCGTCAGCTTAGCTCTTGCTTCTTGGAGAGGTAAATTACCCACAGTGAGGGGACAGCCGTGCCCATCGCCGTAGCTAGGTTTACACTGAAGTGTCACAATGGCTCTGCTGCAGCAGTTTAAATGCAGACATGGCCCAAGAGAAGTGAAACATATTCAAGTTGTCCAGGTCTGAGGCAATTCACCCTAGAACACTGTCATATTTCAGGGTGCAGTTCCAACAGTAAGGGTTTGTGTTATCACTCAGCCGTGCATCTGTGGGTGTCTCACAGTTCTTTACTGCTGTCGTTCCCAGCCTGGGCTGCTCACAGTCAGTTACAAGCAGTTAGGTCCCACTCCAAGGCTGTCTACACTGCAAAGTTTTTGAGCAAAAATAGCTGTCCACACCTCAAATGCGCTTTTGTGCAAGTAAATGAACAATAAAATGGCAGAAGAGAGGGCTTTTTCTGGAGTAGGCAAACCTCCTTTTACGAGGCATAACCCCTTTTTGCGCTACAGCTAGTGCACAAAAAGGCAAGTGTGAACGCTCCAGAGGGGTTTCTTCCACAGGAAAAAGCACAGGTGCTCTGATGGCCATCAGAGCTTTCTTGCGCAAGAACGTCCATGCAGTGTGGATGCGCTTTTGCTATGTGCTTTGAGGTGTGGACTTGCTCTTGCGCAAGAAGTTTTTGTGCAAAAACTCTTGCACAAAAGGCTTCTTGCGCAAGAAGCCTGCAGTGTAGCTGTAGCCCAAGATGAGCAAGTTCATCTCTATTGGATTAAACTTCAACTTTATGGGTTTGATCTGCATAGAGCTGAATATGCAATGTCATCAAGTTGTGGAAGAAGATAATATTAACTTCTGGTTTGAATTCCACCCTCACCCCCTCAAAAAAACCATGTGCCCTGAAGAGTCCAGCCCTCACCCGGACCACACCTAGAAATTATAAGATTCATTGTTCCTGCAAAGAGACCTGAGCAAGTTACAGCAAATTAGTTAGGCAAATACACCCTTCCCCATAAACACAGCACTGACTTGGTTTAGAGTAAAAAACCAAACCAAATTGACTGAAAATGTCAAGGTGAGTTCAAGCTTAAGAAACGCCAATTGAAACAGTTACAATTAAAACAAAACAAAATAGGCTTTCTAGTGGCTAAGACTTGACTTAAGCTAAAGCTTTGTTCAAGGTAGATTTCTTGCCAAGGCTGGCTTTGTCCCTGCTAGGATCTCTCACGGAAGCATGAGGGACTGCTTTCCCTTGTCTTTCTAAATGAACGATATTTGCCGGAGCAGCACTCTCGCCTATATTCAGTTTCCAGACACTTCAGCCTCCCAGCGTGGCTGGAAGACTCATCTTGCTCAGCATGCAAGAGCTCTGCTCCCTTGTGCGTGTCTTGAGATGGATGCCAAACATGGTGTCTGGTGTTGCTTATATCTTCCAAGGTTCAGTGAGCTTGTTTCGAAAGGCAGGAGAACTACAGGTTATTTTCCCCATTCTGTGGGCTTCCCATTCCCCTGTATGTAAATCAGGCTACTGGTGTGAGTTCACCATGTCTGTTTTACAGAGGAGACAGGTAATAGCTGTGACATTCCCCTCTCCCTCCCCAGTTTGGGAGAGATTGTTTCTCCCTTTGTTTGGACAAAGATGCTAAAGCCTAATATCAACAAGTAGATAAATCCTTTTTTAGCATCAGTACATACGGTTTATGACTATATTAACCACTAGTGTGTCACAAGCTTTCATAAAATACCTCATGCTATACACTTTTATAAGCAATTGATTCAATTGCTTATCCCTTGGGTGTTATAACCCTGATAAACTTTTTCTTCCCTGCCAGAAACTGTCTCCTCTGTTTTTTAGTTTTGTTTACCCACTATATTGCGTCGCAGAAGTCAAAATAGTTTAGTTCAGCTTTTGGCGCTGTCTACACAGCATGAAGTCGAAGGAAGTGTACTCATTCCCTTACGCCTTTTGAAATGAGGGTTACAGGAGTCAGAGGGCCTGTCTACACAGTAAGGCTAAAGCCAAAATAAGCTTCACAATGTGAGCTACTTCAATTGCGTAGCTTAAGTTGAAATAGCTTATTTCGGCTTTTGGTGCTATCTACACAGCAGGAAGTATGAGTTACAGCACTTCCCAGGAGTCAGAGTAAGAAGTGCTCCAACTCGACATTATTTCAACATTATGTCAAAATAACTGCTTGCTCTGTAGAGCCGGACTATGTTATTTTGGAATAATGTCAGTTATTCTGAAATAATGCTGCAGTGTAGATGGAGTAGGAGAAAGAAGTCCTCCAGCTTGCCATTATTTTGAAATAAAGGCTTCTGTAGACACACTCTTTGTTATTTCAGAATAACACTGCTGTGTAGACATACTCTTCCTCTTCGTAAAATGAGGGTTACAGGAGTAGGAGTAAGAAGTCCTCCAGTTCGACCTTATTTCGAAATAAAGGCATGTAGTGTAGACACAAACCATGTTATTTTGGAATTACGCCAGTTATTTTGAAATAACACTGCTGTGTAGATGTACCCTAAGAGTATCTTTGGAAGCTCAGGGAGCCCAGAGGACTGGAGAAAGGTGCTATATTTGCCTATCTTCAGAAAGGAGAGGGAAAGGCCAGGAGAGTTAGGCTACGTCCAGACAGCGGCGCTATTTCGGGATGCTGAAAGTGTCCCAAAATAGCAATTCTGCATCTTTAAAAGTGCCCGTTATTTTGAAATATATTTCAAAATAACGGGTGCACTATTCCGGCATCCCTGTAACCCTCGTTCCACGAGAGCTAAGGGACATGTCGAAATAGCACTTTATTTCGAAATTTGGCACTGTGTAGATAGCTTATTCCAAAATTTGGCGCTATTTTGAAATTACCTTGAAATAAGCTACACAATTTCTGTAGCACAGATTGCGTAGTTTAGTTTGAGGTAAGGGTGCAGTGTCGATGCACCCTGACAGACCAGTGAGCCTAATCTAAATACCTGAAAAGATATGGAATAAATTATTAAACTGTCAGTTTGTTCAAACCTGGAGGACAATACAGCTATTTCTACACTGTGGAACTATTTTGGGATACGGAAAGTATCACAAAATAGCTATTCCATGTCTTTTGAGTGAATTCATTATTACGAAGTATAACGGGCTTGCTATTCCGATGACCCTGTAAACCTCATTCCATGA